GATGTAACATGGCCAAGGCCGAGGAGCGAGGGACCTACTCAGCCCAAATCAGATGGATATCGCAGATTCCATAGGGATTATGGTCATACTACGGCAAACTGCAGATATTTGAAAGGTGAGATTGAACGTTTTATCATAGCAGGACACTTGAAGGAATTCGTATATCACGGCAGGTCAAAGAGGAAGGAATATGAGGTGTAGAGAAGGCTCGATGGAAATGAGTGACAAAGATAGGGATGTAGATAGAGAGAATGGTGTAGGACGAGGTGGTCAAAGAGGCCAGCGTGGAGAGAGAAATAAGCGGAGGCGAATGAATGGAGGTCGAGAAGGTCAAGAGGATGTAGTCCGGTGAAGAGAGGCACTATTAATATGATATATGGAGGACCAACTAATGGTGACTACAACAATGCTAGAAGAGAGCATGCTCGAGCTGCCAAAAGGAAGAGGGAGGAGGTGGGGATCATAGCCCAAATGCTGATAATAAGCTTTCGAGCTGAGGATGCTGAAGGAGTTCTGGCACCCCACAATGATGCTCTGGTCACTACAACAGAGGTTGTAGGGTATGACGTCAAGAGGGTGTTCATTGACACATGTAGTTAGGTGGACGTGATGTTCTACGACTGTTCAATCGGGATCTGAATTTGGAATTGAAGGAGGTCGTGACTTCTCTGTACTAATTTAATGGAAGTGAGGTAGTTCTCATGGGGGAGATTGCTTTACCAGTCACTCTAGGTTCTGGGGCGACTCGTAAGGATATGATGGTGCAGTTCGTGGTGGTGGGTGTTAAGTCGTCTTACAACATTATTATGGGAAGGACCAGCCTGAGTGCTTTCTAGGTTGTGGTTTCAACCTACCATATAACAATTAAGTATCCAATTGGCGAGAGTGTGGGGACGATTTTGGGCAATCAATTAATTTTGAGAAGCTGTTATTAGACTACGGTGAGTAATAATCAACAGATTGCTAGGGAATGGAAATTCTGAAGAAAAAAAACTACATAACTATTATATTTGTGTGGAGAGGATAAATATGAGAAGGCTGAATTTGTGAAAAAATGTCAGAATTTCGATGGTTCCAGAAAAAGCTTTGAAAATAGGATTTAAAGAGTGAAAATGGCTAAAAGTTGAAACCGACGAAGACCGTGGGTTTCTATAGCTCAAATAGAGCTATTGAAAGACACGATCTAACAAGTCGGTTGTGGACGACTGTTGATCTGGTGAAGGATCAATTATCCCAAAGGAAAGCATGTTTAGGGTTTCGTGGCATGTTTTACTCTCACAATTCTATAGGTCGGCTGACAGAACGAATTTAATGCCAAAAAAATCAGGTTGGAAGGCTACAATATTCTCGAGCAAGTCTTGGCAGGCCGTTCAAGAATAGAGGCTAGATGATATAGCACACATACTAGCTCTTATGGACTAATCTGAGTAATTAGCTCAGATTCCACCAGTCTAGGGAATCTTTCAGCTTAGTAGTAGGGTTTGACCCTGTCATGAAGCTCAAAATGGAAACTCGAGGTACATGCCAGTTTCCGTTATGGGCTAGCAAACTGAGCTCGTCCAAGAGTTCAGACAAATTAAGGGTTATCACGACCTAGAGGTTGTTAATGGGGTCGCTTAAATGACCTAATACAGAGCAGAGTCATGAGGTCGATGTGCCGACCTATGGACTTACTGAGCTTTGATAGAAAATGGAACAAAATCCTACTTATTGCATGGTAGGAATATGGCGCTGAAAGGCATTAGATCTCAATGTGTATTTTACTACGAAATGAGATACAAGAAGACCTCTTTCATTGTAATAAAGTTGTGTGGACAACAAGACAACCTCCATACTAGGTCGGCTTTTGGGGCAGGTAAACAAGGCACATGCCTAGAGCCTCCATTTTTTTTGGGCCTCATATTTTTTAATATTATGCATTTGTGTTGGACTTGATCTATTTGTGTGAGAATAAATATTCTTTGTAGAGATATATTTTTTTTTTCTTAGTGTTCTCGTGACTGCTTGAATGTAATTTATCAAAGACTTATGTAAACTCAGAGGTAATTTATTAAATCCAAAATCTAGTTCAGGTTTGACAGAAAAACTTGAAAAATTATTTATTTTCCATTTATTTATTTAATTTGTCTTGTTCAATAAGATTTTTTTTTCTATGATTTTATCTCCGATAAAGTCAAAATGTTCTTTCCAAATTAAAATTTTGAATTAAACCCAAAAGAATCTTGACTTACGAATTAAAAGAAAAAAAATCCTCACTTCTAATTAATTTGTTTGCAAAAAATGTTTAGGGGTTCCAAATTTCTGAAGATTGCCCTGCTTCCATATAAAAGGATATTATTATATTATTTATATCTTATCCTATATTATGAATTCCAATTTATAAACAGTTCACGGTCAAAATCTGATTTGAGCGTCGGATGATGTACTGTCGAGACCTCTCCCAACGTATTTCGCTAATCAAAGCCCAAGTGAGGTTCCATCCTAAAACCAATTGGTGGAAGGAGAAGTAGCCCACTAGACTTATAAGTTAGGCCTATTTCCCATACATAAACGATGTGAGACAACTCACAAGTGATATTCTAACATGCCCCCTCACTTGTGAGTTCGTCATACGAAGCCCAAGCCCATATACAAAGCCGGGAGCCCAAGCCAAACTAGACTGGATAAACGGGTACGTCATCGCACGGTCCTACGTAAAACTGACTCTGATACCATATAAGAAACATGAGAAAAATGGGTGCGATCCCATGCAGATGAAATGCACCAAGACAGGAAATCCCAGATGAATCCCAAGTGAGGTTCTATCCCAAAACCAATTGGTGAAAGGAGGAGTAGCCCACTAGACTTACAAGTTAGGCCTATTTCCCATGTATAAATGATGTGGGACAACTCACAAGTGTATATATTCTAACACGCCCCCCTCAAACTCAAGGTGGTATAGCGGAGATCAATTTGAGTTTGCTAAGAATGTAAACAAAAGCGACCGGGAATGAGAGACTTCGTGAAGACATCCGCTGGTTGATCCGTAGAGGAGACGGAAACAAGCTTCACAGTCCCATGTAGACAGTCAATCTCAATATGCTTGATGCACTTATGAAATGTATCATTATGAGACATCTTTATAGCACTGTGACTATCACAATGTAGAGTAGTAGACGACGACTGAGGTGCACCGAGATCAGAAAGTAGTCGACGTAACCATAATAGCTCGAAGGTGGAATCAGCAAGAGCACGGTACTCAGACTCAGTGGTGACAACTGTGGGATTTGAACCCACGCCATCTCGGACCAGAGCCTAAATCTGGTGCGCTTTTCCTGTCTTGGTGCGCTTTATCTGTGTGGGACCGCACTCGTTTTTTTCCGTTTCTTACACGGGTTGACGGGTGCGGTCTCACGGACATGAAGCGTACCAAAGCAGGGTGAGCCTAGATGAGTCTTAGTGAGGTTTCATCCCACGTAGAGCCGACTCTTATAGCATGTAAGAATTGGGAGAAAAAGGGTGCGGTCTCATGCAAATGAAGCGCACCAAGACAAGAAAAGCCCAGATGAAGCCCGAGTGAAATTCCATCCCAAAATCAATTGGTGGAAGGAGGAGTAGCCCATTAGACTTATAAGTTAGGCCTATTTCTCATGTATAAACGATGTGGGACAACTCACAAATGATATTCTAACAATCGGAATTAATTTGAGTTGGAAGACAGTTCGTGGTATCACCAGTTTATCAGTCGGTCTGAAGCAATCTGCTGCCTATCAGCAATGATGCCAATGATGGTTGGCACGTTTTGGAAAATAAGGAAAAGAAGTATATGAAAAACAGAGTAGACGAGACAGTAGATGGGTCACGAGGAGGTGGTGTGGTGATGGGTTAAGGAGTCATATTCTTTCTACTGACGCAGTGTTTTTATTGCACTGAGGGACCAACTCTCAGTCCCTTCATTAACCATCACCACACCTCTTCACAAAACAACTACATGCTGCGTACATGTTTCCAAAACCTTTACAGGTTTTATTTTTATACTCTATTGATAAAACAAATGGCAATGCTACAAAATCGGTCACATGCGTTGCACAGAACCCCGATGAATGGGGTTTGGGATCAAGTGGTGGGTGGGGCGAGGGCTACATAACATATATATTTGAGATTTTTCTACATAAACAATTATTAATTTATTTTGTAATCACATCCAAATACAGCACCCAAGAGAAAAATCATTAATAATAGTAA